GAGAGAGAGAGAGAGAGAGAGAGAGAGAGAGAGAGAGAGAGAGAGAACTCGATTAGACGAACTGGGGTAAAGAAGAACCAATGAAAGTTTCTCCTGAAATAAAACAATCTTTTTTTGCATATGACTTTGATCTTTCACTTGCTGGAAGCATCATCAATTACCTTTTCTTTTGAGGACAGAGTGGGATGAACAAACTTCCTGTATAGGAGGCTGGATCCTTTTGTGTAGGGAGACAGCAGCCAGGCTACAAATGCTATTTTTAGCTCATAATAGAATGGAAACCTGGAGAGATAAGAAAAATACACATTCTGGTAGGTTCTCAGCAGCACCTCCTGGGACCGGTGAAGGAGGAGACCAGTTGGCAAGGATGCCTCCCCTCCTGCACAGATGCCAGGTTCCCAGATTCCTCACCCTCCACCTATAGAAGGCACCCGTACACACCCAAGGCCTCTCCCTAAAAGCCAATTCCTCCTTTATTCTGTTTCTAAGAAAAGTAGGAATGCAAATTTGCTCCAGCTTCACAGTACAGGGGCAGCGACTGGCACTTCCTGAGGGGCTATGCTCACTGAGGTTGATTATAGCCTGCAGGCTCAGAAGACCAGATGTATGTCTGGACACCCAGTCATTCACCCATCACTCATGGTCAGGAGACAGACACCAGGGGAATTACAGCAGGGCGAAGCTGACCGGGTCTCCAGACTGAACAGGAATTGAACTTTCTTGTCTCAATAGAGGCAGGGACAGGAGCCTGATTCCTACCAAAGACGAGAATCCTACCCACCACGCTCAAGTCAATGCCAGTCACAGAGATCTTAACCTTTTTTTGTTCCAAAAAAGAGAACAGTGTGGGGTAGAAGCAACATACAGTCCTGGAGTCCACACGCCCTTGAGCCCATTCGTTTATCCCATGAACTGCCCCAGCACCTATCCATGCCAGCTTATAATGGGCACCAGGGAGACAACAGTGAGCAAAGATCCTGCAACCCTGGAGCCTCCAGAAACAAAGATTCCAGCATCCTGAGCTGAGAGGATAGTACGGTCAGTAAAACGTTTGCCTTGCAAGTACAATGAGCTGAGCACAATCCCCGAACCCACTGAGAAAGAGCTTGCATGTTGGCATGCACTTTTAATCCTAGCACTAGAGAGGAGTGGACAGGTGGGTCCCTGGTACTTACAGGCCAGCCAGCTTAGCCTAATCTAGAGTTGTAGGCCAGTGAGACCTTGTCCCATAAAAAAGAAAAAGTAGGGATGGAGAGATAGCGGTTAAGAGCACTGGCTGCTCTTGCAGAGGGCCTGGGTTCGATTCCCAGCACCCACATGGTGGCTAACAACAGTCTATAACACCAGTTCTAGGGGATCCAATGCCCTCTTCTGACTTCCAAGGCACTGCACAACACGGGTATACTTACAATACATTCAGGTAATACATTCACACACATAAAACAAAAATAATAAATAAAAAGAAAAAAAGAAAAAGTGGATGGCACCTGAGGGACCACATCTGAAGCTGTCCTCTGTCTTAAACACACGCACACACACACGCACATGCAGAGAGAGAGAGAGAGAGAGAGAGAGAGAGAGAGAGAGAGAGACTAGCATCCTTGAAATTAGGAGTCCAGGTAGGGAAATGGACTGATAAAATACTAGCAAATGGGGGCTGGAGAGATAGCTCAGTGGTTAAGAGCACTGCATGGCAACTAACAACCATCTGTAACTCCAGTTCCAGAAGATCTGATGCCTTCTTCTGACCTCCATGGGCAGTGCATGACACGGGTGCATCTACACATATATAGGCAACACATTCACACACACATAAAATATACACTAGCAACCTCAGAAAAGTGCCATGATGGGTTTCTACTATATCACACAAAGCTTTGAGTATATGGAAAAGCCAAGCCCCTCAAATGGATGTAGATCTGTGGGTTCATGGCCTGGCAAGCAGAGTTTGATAGAGATTTCAATCCCACCTCCTCAGTCTCTACTTGGTGCTGTGAACAACTGGTACAATCATATCTTGTAGTCCTGAGGTAGATTAACCATGCATTTGGCATCTTGAGGCCTTTCTGAACCTGGAGAAAGTGCTCTTACCAATGCCAGTATACACCACTTCCTAGAGAGAGCCAAGAACTCCCAGCAAACAAAGTTTTCCTCCCTTCCTTCCTCCCTTCCTTCCTTCCTTCCTTCCTTCCTTCCTTCCTTCCTTCCTTCCTTCCTCCCTTCCTGCCTTCCTGCCTTCCCTCCTTCCCTCCTTCCCTCCTTCCCTCCTTCCTGCCTTCCTGCCTTCCTGCCTTCCTGCCTTCCTGCCTTCCTGCCTCCTTCCTTCCTTCCTTCCTTCCTTCCTTCCTTCCTTCCTTCCTCTTTCTCTCTCTCTTTCTCTCCCTTCCTTCCTCCCCCTCCCTCCCTCTCTCTCTCTCTCTTTCTTTCTTTCTTTCTTTCTTTCTTTCGACAGGGTCTCACTATGCAGCCCTAGCTGGCTTGGAACTCACTGTGTAGACCAGGCTGGCCTTGAAGTCATAGAGATCCACCAGCCTCTGCCTCTCAAGTGCTGGGATTAAAGGTGTGTGCCACATGCCTGACATATTCTATCCCCGTCTCTTTCTCTATCACTCTTTCTTTTTGTAAGACTAGAAATAGAGACAGTTTAGTAAGAGAGGGAAAACACTCCTGAGAATGGGAGTGGGTTAGTGAGCTAGGGAAAGCCTGTGCCCAAAGAGCCTCACAGCTTTCACATGGAGATCAACAATCCAGAGCCTGTACTCCAGGGACCTCCTCTACCTCCTCTCATGTTCTGGGCTACTATCCATGTGCTCCCATCTCCCTAGGACCAGGTACCAGATAGCTGGAGACAGCTCCTGAATTCTAGAACCCTTTGCAATAGCAACCTAAAATCCACTCACCTTCCCTGGCCCAGTCCTTCCTGTGAAGCAGTGCTGACAGCCAGGATCCCTATTCCCACCCTCTGCCTCCAGAGCCACCCTAGTGCTTCCCCTCATGGCCCTGTGTTGTGCATATGTGTGCTGGGGGCCCACTTCGGTCTTTAGGGATCAGTGAGTGGAACAAAGGTCTTCCTTCAAGTCAATCATTTCCAGGTCTGCATATCTGAGCATACCTGCTCAAAAGACATGCCAGGCATCCTTAAAAGATGCCGTGGGTGAGAAGGTTTCCTGTGCTAATTTAAGGGATCAAAAATTAAGTCCTTCCCAGGCATCCTTCCTAGATCAAGAGAGCTGAAAATAAAAGCAATTCCTATCAAGTCATTTCGGGCCTTTTACTACTCACACAGCTCCCTTCGCCCCCAGTCAATAGCTCCATCATTTTTCTGCTCCTGTTCAAGGCCTCTCAGTTTTCTGCCCCCAGAAGTCTTTTCCCAAATATTCTCCCAGCAACTGGGGGGCACTTTCATGGCAGAACTGTTTAATCTTTCACAGTCACAAAAGATAAGGACTGGAAGAACAGAGGCGTGATTGATTCTCCCACAGTGGAACACTCCGGTGATTAATAATGGAGAAAATTTGTTTGGAAAACAAGTTAGTTGCCAGCCTCAAGGGGAAAGTGAATGAATCTGGCAAGCTCAGACACCACCACAAGATATAAAGACAATCCCAAGGGCACCTGCCGCAATGCAGCTCTTTTATTTATTATGTAAAAGACATATTTTTAAAAAGTAGGTCATGTATGCACATAGTTTAAAAATGCTAAAAGTCTAGGAGTACACAATAAAACCTTCCCACCCGTGACCTCTGGACCCTTTTCTAAAAACCAGGATATTAATCAGTTTTAGTGTGTCCTAGATTGGGGCAAGGTTTATAGGTACAGATGACTCCCTTAATGTCTTCTGTATGGGTGGGGACCATGCTATACATCTCCTTTGACACCCTGCTTTCCCCTAACACACACACACACACACGGCAGTATTCATTGAGGAGTATCTCATACTAGGACCTGAAAAGCTTTGGTTTTCTTCATGTGCAGGCATCTTCCAGGCCCCCATGCAAAGATATTCATGAGACTGACAACTGCAGCCCAGCTGCAAGTGAACTTTCTTCTGTATGCTTCTTTGCAGCAAATGCAGTTGTAGTATGGATGCCCATGGGTGGATTATCTGTGTGCATTTTATAGACAGGAGCAGCCATACAAACTTAGAAAGAGTACCTGACCCTCCCCCCGCCAGCTAAATTCTCACCATGTATGGCCAATTATAAGAGCCTCTGTCCCAAGATTAGATGCCCTAATCCTTCTCCACTGCCCAGACCAACTTCATTCTCTGAACTGTCTACTCCTTGCTCTTTGGAACTTTCTGGGATATCTCGCCCATGCTGATGTAGCTAAAAAAAAAACCTCTCACCAGGCATGGTACAAGACTTTAGTCACAGCACTTGGGAGGCAGAGGCAGGCAGATTTCTGTGAACTCAAGGCCAGCCTGATCTATACAGTGAGTTCCAGGCCAGCTGGGACTGGGAGACCCTGTCTCAAAAAGACCAAAAAAAAGAATGAATGCTGTATGGTCTTCTCTATTCCCTCATACTTTACCCACAAACAATCTTATCAGTCTCAAAAACCAGGCACTACTAAAGCCAGTCAGGACTTCACCATAGTCTGAAAATAAGTTCGATGAGAGAATGGAAGAAAAAAAAAGACAAGTTCCTGGGCCCTTTAGCTTGTTGTGCACTAAAAACAGCAACGTGTGTTTTCTTCCACCCTGACCCTTGTGTTCTCTTAGCTCATAGAAGTCCATCCTCATCACAAGACGAGGACCCTGAAGCACAATGGGGTGTTGGTGGCAGAAAACTAGCAGTTCCAGGGGGAAGCTGATCACCCACTTCTCAAGGACAGGGTGTTTACAAGAAGAAGAGGAGAAAAACCATCTCTTGAAGCCATGTCACAGCTAATGAAAAATTGGTAGACCTTAATCCACCCTAACCATGCACAGGAATGAAGGCCTGGCCTCCTTTGTCCCAGGACCAGCCCCACAGTGCTAATCAGCACTGCTCCATTTCTTCATCTTCCAGACGGCACATCTGGCTCTGCCCAACACAGCTTTATAAAGTTCTCACTTCTAAGCCTCCCCTTCATCTCCACTGTCACTGAGATGGAAGTTCCTGCTTGTCACTGTTGAGTATGTTCTTGATAGCAAAACCAGAATCTCAAGATTTCATGTAACAGAAATGTAAAAACAGCCCCATGATCCCAGGTTGTGGAAACAACTCTACGAGAATTTGCTGAAAGACTTCTAACACACGCTCACATGTGCACAAACTCATTCTTTAAACATGAGTAGGAACTGTATATTACTTACAGTCTTTTGCCAAAGAAGAAACAATTTATCAATACCAATAATTTTTTTTTCAATTGCACCATTGCTAGAAACAGTTGTATTAATATCTTTTTAAATTTTATTTTATGTGTATGCATGTATTGCCTGTGTGTAGGTAAGTGCACTGGTGTTATGCAATGCCCAAGGGTGTCTGAAGAAGGTGTCAGATCCACTAGAACTGGAGTTACAGATGGTTGTTAGCTGCCGTGTGGGTGCTGGGAATAGAACCTGGGTCCTCTGCAAGAGTAGTCAGTGTCCTTAACCACTTAGCCATCTCCCCAGCCCTGTATTAATTTCTTTTGGAGGGGGTTGCAACAAGGTCTCAGGTAGCTAGACTGGCCTTGAACTCACTCAAAGCTGACTTTGAACTCCTCGTCCTCCTCCTCCCAAATGTTGGAATAAAAAATTTATTTCTCCATGCCTAGCAGCTATATTATTTATATTTAAAACCTGGCTAGCAACTTAATGTCCACTAAAAGAACATTAACTGGGGCTGAAGAGATGGTTCAATAGTTAAAAAGTGCATACTGCTCTTGCAGAGGACCTGTGTTCAGTTCCCAGGACCCATGTCAGGCAGCTCTCAGAGCTTGTATCTCCAGCTCCAGGGATCTGACATCCTCTTCTGACCTCCTTGGGCACCTGCACACATGTGTACATACCCCCACACAGACACGTGTGCATAATTAAAAAGAAAATAGATCTTTAAAGAAATTTAAAGGGAGCCAGGCGTGGTAGTGTATGCCTTTAATCCCAGCACTTGGGAAGTAGAGGCAGGCAGATCTCTGTGAGCTCGAGGTCTACAGAGTGCTACACAGTGAGACCCTGTCTAAAAGAAAAAATAAATAAAAGGCATTAATTAAATAAGCTATGCTTTATTTATATTATGAAATACTATCTGGTCGTTAAAAAATAAGTAGGCATATTTATGCTCATACAAAAGTATTTCCAAAATACAGTAAGCAAGCTGAAAATGATTAGTTTATTATAATATTGTTGTTTAAAAAAAAGAAAAATATAAGCCAAATGTGGTAGCACACACCTGTAATCCCAGCACTTGGGAGACTGGGGAAGAACAATTGAGAATTAAAGGCCAGCCTGGGCTACATAGCAACATCCTGTCTCCAAAATTTTTTAAAGTTCTCACAGAAAAGAAAAACGTGGGGTTGGTAAGATGGCTCAGTGAGTAAAGGTGCTTGCTGCACAAGCCTGGTGACGTGAGTTTGACCCCTAGAACCCACATAAAGTTGAAAAGAGAGAACCAATTCCACAAAGTTGTCCTCTGACCACCACGTGTTCCACAGCATGCATGTGCCCCCCCCACATCATACATACATGTAATAATAAAATTTAAATAACAAAAATGTCTGTGTGTATATATTAACACACCAACAAAATATATATATATTTTTTGGTCTTTTTTGAGACAGGGTCTCCTTGTGGTTTCAGCTGGCCTGGAACTCACTATGTAGACCAGGCTGGCCTTGAACTCACAGATATCTGCCTGCCTCTGTCTCCTGAATGCTGGGGACTAAAGGAGGGCGGCACCATGCCTGGCCCAACAAAAATATTTTAATTATTTTATTTTATTTTATTTATGTATTTTTGAGACAGGGTCTTTCTTTACCTCAGTTCACCTGGAACTGGCAGTGTAGACCAGGCTGGCCTTGATCTCACAGAGATCTGCCTGCTTCTGCCTCCTGAGTGCTGGGATTAAAGGCATGAACCACCATGCCCAGCACCAAGAAATTTCATAAGAGGACATAAAATTGTGAATAATGGTTATGGAACGAGCACCTGGTTTAGGAGGGAATCTGTCTTTTTATTGCATACTTTTGTCTTGTAGTGGTGGCCCTTAATCCTAGGACCTTATGCACGCTAGGCAAGTGCTCTACTATCAAGCTACATCTTCAGCCCATTTTTTACTACAGACTCGTGTACTATTTCTTGTTTTCTTTCTTTCTTGGCATATGAACACTTCCTTACCATACATTCATAGAGAAGCTGTGCCTGTCTTGTCCATTACTATATCTCCAATGCCTTTAACAATACCTGTTCTTATGAGGTTCATCAGTAAATATTTACTTGAACAACTTTTATGGAGCAATTTATTAAAAATGCTCCAACTAACATCCTAGCCTTGATCCCGGCCCTCTGGCCTGAGAAAAGACTGAGGCTTCAGTCCTTTCCTCCTTCTCCATTCATCCTTTGAAATGTCGTATTTCTTGGAGCACTTACCAGCAAAGAAAGATGTCTGTGAATGTCTCTGCTGTGGTGAAAAGAGCAAATATAATCCAGTACATCATCCATTTGACCTGTTGAAAGGAAAGCACAGAGCTAGTAGAAAACGTCAAGGTTATTAGTGAATGCCTAGCACTTAGGCAGTGGATGTTGAGGCCATCTAGGTAGTGCCACCTGCACCTGTCACCCCTCTCTCCATCCTTCCCCAACTCAGGTCCAGTTCTACTGCACACCTTGATGCTAGAAGCAGGCAGGCTGTTCTGCAACTGACCAGGCTCAAAGTCATATTAGATCCATTATACTCTGGGTTGCCCTCAGGTGAGCCAGGGAGACCTGGCTCAGGTCAGGAGTAACAAAGATTCCATCAGGTTATTTTTCTAGGAGAGCCATGAGGCAAGTGAGCACTCCAGGCTTCTGTGTAGACATACCCCTGGGGTGGACATTTTCAGGCCATGCTCCAGAACAGAATGGCAGCAGTCCTTATGATGGGCCACTTACTTTCCTGTGGGCCTAGAGAGCTAGATCTTTCTTTAAATCGCTTCCAAAATAAACCATCTTTCCTATTTCCACTGAATCACTCTGTCCCCTTTCTCTTAAACTACTACAAAATTCTGCCAACTGCTTTGCCTCCTCACTAACCTATCAAACCAACCACTCCATTTCAATTTCTCCAAAGTATGGATTCTCCAGACTCTTCCCCCATTTCAAATCTTCTAGCCTGTAGAATAAAGTTCAAACTCCTAGTCTTCTGCCTCTAGTAATAGAATAGCTTGTATTGGACTAGCTTGTACTGGACTATCATCACCAATAATCTGGTAATGATACTAGTAATGATAAGCTCTCAATAAAATATTTCAAAACACCAGAGATCCATAAAAACTCTCAGAAGGGATTCAACTCTTGGTGGAGTCATACAAGATTTAATCTGGGTTGGTATGGCCAAGGACAAAGCTCTGGATGATAGATCTTTAGCAGAGATCCATTGTAGTCTTTGCCTGAAGAGCTGGGGAAAGAGTTTGAGCCTGCTAGAGTTGTTGGAGCTCAAGCAGGGAGAATTCTAGAGAAGGAAGCTAAAGTTCAAAGACTACAAAATCTGCATTTTGAATTCTCAACTTCTTGGCTGGAATCCCAGTACACAGGAGCCTAAGGCAGGAGGATCATGAGGTTGAGGCCAGTCTGGACTATATACATAGTGAGAATCTTTCTCAGAAACAAATAAAGCCCTTGGCTGACCCTTGAACTGAACAGAATCAAAGTAAGATTCCAAACAGGGATAAGGATAAGAGAGGTAGAGAGTGTGTGTATGTGTATGTGTGTGTGTGTGTGTGTGTGTGTGTGTGAGAGAGAGAGAGAGAGAGAGACAGAGAGAGAGACACAGAGAGAGATCAAAGTATATCCTATGTGTGTATGAAAATATCATAATGAACACATTATTTTGTAC